AGCAGGGAGTCTGCTTCTCCTTCTGACCCTCCTCCCTCTCATGCTCTCTGTCTCTCATTCTCTCTCTCTCAAATAAAAAAAAAAATAAAAAAATAAAACAAGTCATACCCCATTTCCTTCCAGAGGATCAGATTAAAGGGTACAGTGGTTTCCTCATCAGAGAATTACTTCTTCAGCTATAAGGGAGTTTCTCTCTTTCTCTACCTGCAAACTGTCCGAAAGAAATGATTTAGGTCTAGTTACTGGTGATGGAGATGAAAGTCTTAAAGTACCTGCTCTGTATCACCCTGCTACCCCCGAGACCGAGCGGGTCAGGGAGCTCTGAAAGAATTTTACCTTTCTCACATGCCTCTTAAAAGGGAACGTGCTCTCCAGTGAGGATGAATGCTGCCTTTGAAGCGTAGCCCAATGCTGGGAGAGACCAGAACCTTCTCGCTTAGTACCAGGGTTTTCATCTGGGGAGCCTACAAACCCCTTGGGGCTGTAAGAGCTGATGGAGTCATTTTAGTTCCCTAAGGAATATTTTTTTAGGATTGACGATGAGGCTGAGAGAGCCAGCTATTTGATCCCCAGGGGTGGGGAAAGCTTGAACAGTACTTTTAAAGCCCTAATTTAGAATTATGTGCTGAGAAAAATTGCCTGCATCCAGATTCGGTGCCAAAGCCAAACTGTGAAAATAAAGGAGCCGGCTGCTCTCTTTGGCTGCAGCAACCAGAGACGAGGGCCTGGGGGACGGGGGCACAGGGGGCTCAGGAAGGGGAAGGGAGTCCAGACTCTGTTCAATATCCAGAAATTGAGGAATTCTAAAGAGGCATGCTCCCCCAGGTCTGCTGCCCAGCAACACATGCCTGGAGGATACAGCTGTGTTTTGATCCTGTTCATGTACTATTTTCACAGTAGTTAGCTTTTGATCATAGAATCCTATTATACAGACTGAGAAAAATCAGGGTCACCATCTTCTGGTGCCTGACTGTCGAGGAATATTGGCTGTAGATTCTTCCGCATGCAAAGTCCTGTCTGAGGACCGGTCCCTAAAGCGACCACTGTCTAGAGCGGGATTCGTGCTTACCTGTGCAGGTATCCAGCAGTGTGGCGGAACACCTGGCCCACTCTCTTCAGGACTGCTCCAACATCCAGGAGATCTTCCAAACACTCTACTCACACGGATCTGCCATCTCGGAAAGCAAAATTAGAGAGTTTGAGGTGGAAACAGAACGGTTGAATAGGTAAGGAGAAATCCTGTGTATTTGAACTGCGGTGTTGTGGGGGTGGGGAGCTGCCCTCCTTTCCCTTTCAAAGATCAGTTCAAGTTGGCTTAGGAGCTGGGACATAGGGAGATGCTGTCAGCCTGGTGGGCGGGGACTTCCCACCTTCTTCTTCAGCAGAAGAGCGCTTACCGAAGTCGGGGCTGGCTTCATGGGCGTTGTGTGACCTATGTGTTCAAGTGCACAAGCCTCATGTTTGGAAGGATCTCACACTTGGCTTTACTGCTCTGCTGTCACCGTTTTAATTTCTTGGGGCACCTGGGGGGCTCCGTTGACTAAGCATCTGCCTTCAGCTCGGGTCCTGATCCCGGGGTCCTGGGATCGAGCCCTGAGTCGGACTCCCTGCTCAGCAGGGACCCTGCTTCTCCCTCTCCCTCTGCTTGTATGCTCTCTCTGTGTCAAATAAATGAATAGAATCTTGAAAAAATAAAAATAAATTCTTAATTTATGAAGCAGGGCTCCACCTTTTCATTTTGCACCGGGCCTTGCAAATTTTGTAGCAAGTCCTGGGAGCTGTTCGTATTGAATGACAAGTAGGTCAGAAAGACAAGACGGCTACCAAGCATGCAGGCCTGTGCTGCCAGGAACCACAGAGAACAGCTCTGGAATGTTGAGTCAGCATCCTAGGGGCGCCTGGAGCTATCAGGAACCAGCAAAGGCAGTCTGATCGAGGCATTCTGGGATTGACCAGGCATGCTGGTCTAGCCCTCCCTGCTCCTCCGGAGGGTTGCCTAATTTTTACTTATGTTCTTTGCAAAAGTACACAACCCTCCGTCCCTACGTTCTATCCCACTTAGTCCTACTTAGAATCACTTTCTAAGTAGCTCTAACTGTCCTACTTAGAAAATTTTTCCAGTTTTATGGATTCTTCCCAAATCTCATAACAGAGGTAGTTAGAGTTTGCACTCATGCCTCTTGGCAAAGCCTGGCTTGTAGGTCATCCCGGTGATGGGAGTTGCTGAAAAAGCAAAGAAGGACCAGGGCCAAGTCCTGGTAAACCACTGACTCAGAATGGGTCCTGCAGGGGCAGAGCGCACTACTGAATCCTATCCAAGTGTGGTGTGGCTGCCTTGACCCACCAGCCTTCAGTGGGAGAGCACAGTAAGAATCTGAAAGGCTCGTGAACTCACCAGGAAGAAATGTGGATGCCGGTCCCCCTCCACAGTTGCCGAATGCCGTTCCCCTGGTGTCTGGCAAACCTGAATAAATTGAATTACCATATTAGTCCTCCCTGATTTGAAGCTGTTTAATATAGTGCTTGAGGACTAAGGAAACGCAGCAATCTAGGTCATTTCAAATCTGGAAATTAAATGGTTTCCTTATTAAATCCAAAATACTTGAGAGTGACAATCCCGATGATTACCTTGTAGCAGTAAAGAAGCAGTCCTCTCCGTACCAGGCTGGGGGGTGCTTAAGAATTGAATCAGATATGCCCTTTGCAATTTAATGAAGTCAGATGCCTTCAGGGGCCCTCTGTGAGTGAGGATCTCCTCTCCACAGATTCTGGGACTTAACAAGCCTGCTTTGTGGTTGAACTTGGGGGAGGTTCCTTTCTCCTCCGTTCTGCGCACCTAGGAGACGCCAAAGAAAGGGGAAGCATTTGGTCCTTGTAGCTCACGTTATTATGGTGTTTCACAGTTTACAAAGGGTTCTCACGACCACTTAATCTTCAACTTGGGAGGGCAGAACAGTCCCATTTTGCAAATGAGAAAACAAAGGCTTCGATGTTGAGCAACTTGCTTGGAGTCCAGAGCTGTTAAATAGCCCAGCTGGAATTCTACCCCTGCCCTTGGACTTCCCCTCCAGTGTTTTCCCAATGGCCATAGCTATAACTAGAATGTGGGAATAACCTTAGACTCTGTTATTAAACTACCTACCTCAAAGTTGGAGGCCTTGTTACACCCCCCAAAATGAGAGCCCTTAGCTTTTTGATTGTGTGTGGGGTGGGGGGTCATACCTCCTCAGAAATGTTTCCTGACTTAACAAATCTGTTTTAAGTACGTACTCTGTGCTCAGCTATTTGTCATGCAAAGGAAAGTAAGACAGACAAGGTCCCTGTCTCTCATGGAGCTTCTGTTCTGTTTGGGGAGCTATACAAGAAGCAAACAGAGATCATAAGAAAACTCCCCGTAAACAGGGCACTGTGGTGGCATAGGGGCGGGGGGGTGGTGATTATTAAGTAGGGCTCCGCGTCCAACATGAAGCCCAACGCGGAGCTTGAACTCACAGATCAAGAGTCAGATGCTCAGCCGACAGAACCACCCAGGTGCCCCCAGGAGACGTTGATTTTATTTTATTTTATTTTTTTTTTTAAAGATTTTATTTATTTATTCATGAGAGACAGAGAGAGAGAGAGGCAGAGGGAGAAGCAGGCTCCCAAGGAGCAGAGAGCCCGATGCGGGACTCGATCCCAGGACTCTGGGATCATGACCTGAGCCGTAGGCAGACGCCTAACCATCTGAGCCACCCAGGCGCCCAGGAGACGTTGATTTTAGATAGGTAGCCAGGGAAGGCATCTCTGAAGAGGTGGCTTTAAGTTGCGATTTTAAGGGGAAAAGGAAGCAGCCATATGACAAACTGAGAGTCTTACGGAGCAATTGACAACCTTAAGGCGGAAAAGGAGGTTGACATGAAGTGGGAACTGTCCCCAAGGCCAGTGGAACTGAAATGGAGTGAATGAAAAGAAGTAGTCACACGCAGTAAGGTGGTGGAGTTGGCAGGGCGTGGTGGGTATGAAGTTTGAGGCCGGGGACCAAGTTTGCTCTTTATTCTAAGTGTCATTGGAAGTCGTTAAAGGGTTTGGTTTTTTTGTTTGGTTGGTTGGTTTATGCAGCAGAAGAGCAGATCTGGTTTAAATTCTGAGAGCTGACTCAGATGTGAAGAATGGAAGGAGGGCAAGAGTAGAAACAGCAATGAGTGTAGTGGCCCGATGTGGCCAAGGTGGAGGTGATGTGAGGAGGTGGGGGTCAGAGTGTTTGGTGGTAGAATCAGTGGAAACCGCAGTTGGATTAGATCTGGATGTAAGAGGAAGGGACGGTCTCAAAGAAGATTCTCACGTGTCTCCCATGTATTGCTGGGTGGTTGGTGGTAGCATTTACTGAGATGGAGAAGATAGAGAAGGACAAGGTTTGGGGGAAAATCCAGAGTCTCATTTGGTAATGTTAAATTTGAGGTTCTGGTGTGACATCCACATTGGAAATATCAGGAAACAGCTGGAGATATGAGATAGGCACTCAGAAGAGAGGTCTGGGCTAAAGAAATTTGAGAGCCAGAGGAACGTAAATGCCTGTTAAAGTCATGGGACTGGATAAAATCACACCGGGGAGCAGGGGGAGTGCTGATAGAGGAGGACAGCCATGAGTCCCGAGGCAACGCCAACCCCCACAGATTTCATAGAGAATGAGGAGCCAACAAAGGAGACAGAAGAAATGACCTTCAAGGCAGGAAGAAAACCAGTAGAGATCTATCATGCCCCAAGTGAGACAGAACATTTTCAGAAGGAAGGAGTAGCCTGTTAGTGGGGTGTTGCCTGAGAAGGCCTCTAAGATGGGATCGGTCACGAGGAGGTCTGTGAGCGGACTAAAGAGTTTCATCTACTTAGTGGGGACCGAACTGGAGCAAGTTGAGTGTTGAAGAGAGTGGTGACTGTTTCAAGAAGTCTTAATGTCAACAAGAACAGAAAAGTATGTTCTTGTAACACCTTACATTGAATCAAGCTTGGAGTTGCCAAAACCTCACGGTGGTTTTAATTACACGCTCACCAGACATCTCCCATGTTGGTGAGTGTCTCTACATTCTGCTCTAAAATACGTGGTCCTAAGATTGATCCTCAAGGCAAATGGCGTGCAGGCCCCTTACCATTTTAAGAGTCCCTTGCATTGTGTATGTGTGAAACCCCCTGTGTCTTTAAGACTTGGTGGTCAGAGTACTATAAATGGGTGTGTGCATGGGAATTGAATCACTGCATCCAGGGCCTCTGTCCCAGGGCAGAAAACAGAGAAGCTGAAGGCTTATGCTTTTCTGACTTTGCCACAAACTCATTTGACCTGAATTTAGAGTCCCGAGTCCTATAAAGCGTGAGGTCCCTGCCTGCAGCCAGCAGTCGTGGGACTGTCCAGCCTGGAAGGGGTTTGGGACACAATCCACAGTTCCTGTCCGCCGCCCATTCAGAGGCCCTTAGGGACAGTTTCTTACTCCCGGATTCATCTGTTGCTTCTGCTCTGTAGTGAGTGGTTCAGAGCACAGGATCTGAGGTCAAACTGCCTGAAGGCACTTAACCCTTCCGTGCCTCTACTTACTCTTCTGAGAATGGGGCTAATCATACTTAATTCAAAGGGCCACGGAGGGTTATTGAGCAGGGGTTTAACAAATAGTAGCTATTACTGTGGCACTGCTTCTTGTTTGTCCCCGTGGAGTGTTGCTTATTGAAGTGCACCTGTCCTACCTCTCCTGAGGGCCTGAGGTCACGTGGCTGGCTCCTTTCCCTGGTGGATCCTCAGCACCTCACGCGGCACCCGGCACATGGTGTGTTGCCGGCTGGGTGGGAAGTAACCAGGGGGCCTGTGTATTTCCAGTTCACACAGAATTTAGTGATTCTCATACTTAGGGTTGCTTCCTTTATCATTCATGTCAGTTACGTTTGCTAAAACCGCTGACGAGCTCACATCCTAACACGCGTGTCTGGCCTGGATCTAGATTAGATGGCTCAACTATCGGCAAATGAACTGTAATCCTAATGTGAAGTCGTGAAAAGAGATTTTTCTTCCTTTGTAGCCGCATCGAGCACCTCAAATCCCAAAATGACCTCCTGACCATAACGCTGGAAGAATGCAAAAGCAACGCTGAGAGGATGAGCATGCTGGTGGGAAAGTATGAGTCCAATGCCACGGCCCTGCGGCTGGCCCTGCAGTACAGGTAGGAAGTGCAGGCCCTGAGTGCACATGTGCAAGGTTGGGGGGCGGGGTTAACTTAGAAATGCATGCACAGTAACCTGCCTCAAAGTAGAAACCAGGCTTTTAGAGCACATACGGAGGGGGTTGGACCAGCAAATACCAATGTGATACATACTGAAAATCCATTAGCACCTTGTGGCAATTAAGAAAAGAAGAGTAATGAGTATGGTATAGGAAAATTGAGATGTTTCTGCCAGCATGTTCAACTTAAATATTATTTTATATATTTATATTTTTTTAAGATTTTATTTATTTATTTGACACAGAGAGAGAGACAGCGAGAGAGGGAACACAA